GATGGTAGAAAAGTACAATTGGACACTGGGACAGGAATTGGCAAAGTTTTGTAATAGTTGCCAAGATGACTGGGATGTCTTACTCCCTCCACTGTTCATGGCCTATAGGACAGCAGAGCACGAAGCCACTGGATACACTCCAGGGAAGGTAATGTTTGGTCGGGAACTTCGGTTGCCAGTGGATCTGTTAACAGGACGCCCACCTTATGAAGAGTTGCCTGAAAATGTGTCAGAGTTTGTGAAAGTGTTATCGGAAAGGATGTATGATATTCACCATTAAGTGCGTCCAAACTTAAAAGCGTCTGCTGATTTCATGAAGCTATATTATGATAAGAGATATACTGAAGTCAGCTTTGTACCAGGAGACAAGGTATGGTTGTATAATCCCAGGAAGACCAAAGGGAAGTCTCCTAATTTGTCTTCTCTATGGGAAGGCCCATATGACGTAGTGAATCGTCTCTCAGATGTGCCTTTCCGAATAAAATATGGTCGGTGAAGGTAAGCCAAAGGTGGCGCATGCCCACAGGCTTTGGCGTTATCACAGTTCAGGACATTTCAGTTGGAACGAAGTGAACAATGGAACAAATGACGCTGCTGAAGACGTGTCACCTGAAAAAGCCACTGATGAAGAAGAAAATCTACCCGGTTTTGATCCGTTAATGAAGTTACTACCACTGATGTGACTGTTACCGACAATAGGACATTTCCTGGTGGAGCAGATAAACCCCCACGTGTAGCAAAAGCCAACGAGACGGAGACCAGTGTAGAAAGAAGCTGCTATAACATTTTCATCTTACATGTGTTCTGAATCTCACACAGTATAAATAAGCTACTATAACATTTACATCTAACAGGTATTCTGAATCTCACACAGTGTAAAGAAGCTGCTATAACACTTACATCTTACATGCGTTCTGAATCTCACACAGTGTAAAAAAGCTGTCATAACATTTGCATCTTACAGGTGTTCTGAATCTCACAAATTGTAAAGAAGCTGCTAGAACATTTACATCTTACAGGGGTTCTGAATCTCACACAGTGCAAAGAAGCTGTTATAACACTTACATCTTACAGGTGTTCTGTATCTCACACAGTGTAAATAAGCTACTATAGCATTTACATCTTACAGGTATTCTGAATCTCACACAGTGTAAAGAAGCTGCTATAACATTTACATCTTACATGTGTTCTGAATCGCACATAGTGTAGAGAAGCTACTATAACATTTATATCTTACATGTGTTTTGAATCTTATACAGTGTAAAGAAGCTGCTATAACATTTTCATCTTACATGTTTTCTGAATCTCACACAGTGCAAAGTAGCTGCTTTAACATTTATATCTTACAGGTGTTCTGAATCTCACACAGTGTAAAGAAGCTGCTATAACATTTACGTCTTACATGTGTTCTCTCCTATTTTAGAAAGGTAAACTGTTTAGTTAATTGAAAATGTGTATAGTTTTCAGATAAGCCTCTAGTATTTCAAATACAGGAAATCTAGCTCGTGCATTTACCTTATCTCATGATATCACCTTGTCTTACTTTAGTCTTATGAAAGATGTCATAGAAGTCATACTGTTGATCTTCTTTCTACTATTTTTATTGGAATTTCCATGTCTAAGTTTTAGCCTTATGGAAATTGTTGCTGGAGAACTACTTTTCATCTTGTAACTACTGTCTCTAGTGGCATTACCCCGTAATTAATTTTAACGTTATGAAGACAGAGTTTTTATGGAGACCGAGTTTTGATTGTGTATCAACTATCTTTCATGACATTTCTACGTCCATGTTTGGTTTTATGAATGAAGTTTCTGAAGACCTAATTTTGATTGTGTATGAACTATCTTTCATGACATTTCTATGTCCATGTTTAGTTTTGAAGTTTCTGAAGACCTAGTTTTGATCTTATATCTACTGTCTCTTGTGGTACCACTGTGGTTAAATGTATTCTCACAGAAGATGTTACTGGAGGCTTTCTTTTGATGTTGTATCTACTGTTTCAAGTGTTACTGTCATGTATAAGTTTAGTCTCACAGAAGATGTTACTGGAGCCATAGTTTTCATTTTGTATCTACTGTTTCTAGTGTTACTGTCATGTATAACTTTAGTTCCACAGAAGATGTTACTGGAGGCTTACTTTTGATTTTGTATCTAATGTCTCTGGTGATATTGCCATGTATAAGTTTAGTTCCACAGAAGATGTTACTGGAGCCATAGTTTTGATTTTGTATCTAATGTCTCTGGTGATATTGCCATGTATAAGTTTAGTTCCACAGAAGATGTTACTGGAGCCATAGTTTTGATTTTGAATTTACTGTTTCTAGTGTTACTGTCATGTATAAGTTTAGTTTCACAGAAGATGTTACTGGAGACATAGTTTGATCTTTTATCTACTGTTTCTAGTGTTATTGTCATGTATAAGTTTAGTTTCACAGAAGATGTTACTGGAGACATGGTTTTGATCTTGTATCTACTGTTTCTAGTGTTACTGTCATGTACAAGATTAGTTCCACAGAAGATGTTACTGGAGCCATAGTTTTCATTTTGTATCTACTGTTTCTAGTGTTACTGTTATGTATAAGTTTAGTTCCACAGAAGATGTTACTGCAGCCATAGTTTGATCTTGTATCTACTGTTTCTAGTGTTACTGTCATGTATAAAGGTTATGTCCTCATCTTGTCACTTGACTTCCATAGCACACTGTGAACTGAGAGAGATAGCATAAAAGAATGATATTGTTACGTCTCTGTGTTCGTTTGTTAATTTTCCGTAGAAATTCTTTCCCAGAAACTTCAATTCTTTCTTAAATAAAACTAGTTTATTCTTTCTCAACTCAACTTTGGAATACACTTAATTTCCACAGTCACTTTAATTTAAACACACGCTATAATTCACAATGATTCACGCACTTTACTTACGGTCACTACCGTGCTTGACTCAATTGTCCGTCTCTTGCTAGTCTTATATATACAAATTAGAGGGCGTCTGGCAAACACTCGAGCCTTCAGGAACCTTCGAGATACTCATTACGTGTTACCCGCATCACGTGACTTCCGCTGTCGTAACAATATATATAATGCCATGTTCTCTTCATTAGAAATGAAAAATAACCACTGTAGCCTTACAACATACAGGATATCTGGACGTACACACTAAGATAAAGAATGACCACTGTAGCCATACAACATACAGTATATCTGGAAGGACCACACTAGGATGAAAAATGACCACTGTAACGTTACAACATACAGGATATCTGGACGTACACACTAGGATAAAGAATGACCACTGGAACCTTACAACATACAGTATATCTGGAAGTACCACACTAGGATGAAGAATGACCACTGTAACTTTACAACATACAGTATATCTGGAAGTACCACACTAGGATGAAGAATGACCACTATAACCCTCCAACATACAGTATATCTGGAAGGACTACACTAGGATGCAAAATGACCACTGTAACCTGTAAAGGATATCTGGAAGTATACAATAGGATAAAGAATGACCACTGTAACCTTACAACATACAGTATACCTGGCAGTACACACTGGGATGAAGAATGACCACTGTAATCTTACAACATACAGTATATCTGGAAGTACCACACTAGGATGAAGAATGACCACTGTAACTTTACAACATACAGGATATCTGGAAATACCAAACCTGTGTAAATGTGCTGATATAAAATATAACCTCCAAAGTGATAACTTATAATTCGGAATTAATATTCAAAATGATTTATAATGAAGTACTAAGTTCCGTAATGGGGTAGAAATATAAGATAATTCCACTGCGGAATAAGTTACACATATCACCAAAGTATAATAACTAGTAACTTGAAGAGAGCACAAACTAAACGCCTTACCATTAGTACTGCCAAACGAGAAGTGAAAATTAGGTAGAATAGCATAGGAAATCACGTGTGTGTGTGTGGCACTAGTATTGGTGGAAGTTGGTTGCATGATAATTTGCATGTGAAAATCAGTTAAACTGTGTGAATCGAGGGGTAAATGGGAGTGAAAGGCTTGTGGCATGCGAAAGTTTTTTACAAATAGAGGGCAGCACTGAATGAGAATAGCTATGCATGTGAGCAAAAGTAAGATACTTTGTCAGAATCAGATATCTTACACCAGAGTTTAAATATTGTTTTATTGTTCAAACATAACATGCTGTAAGATGAAACAGACCAAGGAGAGCATCTGGTAGAATTATATATCTTAACACCAGAGTTTAAATTGTTTTGTTGTTACAATATAACACACTGTAAAACGAAACAGACCATGCAGAGTACATAACAGAATTATATAATATGAAAGTTTAAATCCTTTAAAATGTAAAATTAATTCACCCGATATTCTATTGAATTCTCATATTTTCATATAGTTTGTGAACAAGAAGTTTAAAACTGATGTTGACTTTACCAACACATAACACACTATGGTGTAAGTTAATAAAAAGGAACAAACCTCCTGAATATAAAGCTCTTAGTTCGCTGCCAAACAAGTGTGTGGCAAAACCAAAGTTACAGTTGGTCTTGTGGAATACAGAGACCACATCGTCCGGTACAACATCTCTGTTTGTTTGAAGGAAGTTGGAAGCATCATACACAACATTTCCAGCAAAGTGTTTCACCCCAAACATTTGTGGATTGGTGGATTTAAAGTCAAAAAACCTAAAAAACAAATGATAAAGTTTCATACAATTTTAGATTGTACAATCTTATTTAATTAATTATACATTACAAGCTAGAGTTAAATATTGTAAGTGGTTTGGTTCAGTAAGTGTGTTGTAAGGTACTTGGCTTCTATATTATGAATATCTCTAGCTCAAACCTACACGAAAGTCCAATACTCACATTGAATCCAAATCCCCAGTGAAGCTCAACTATCCAGTAAAGTCTTGCATTTCGTCAAATTCAAACACTTCAATCAAATCTAACAACGTACTCATTTTCAAAATTCAAGTCAATGTGCAACAGTCCAATAAAATCCAACATTCCAGTTAAGCTAAACATTCCAATTAAGTCAAACATTACAGCAAAGTTCAACACTCCAGTCAGGTCCAACATTCCAGTGAACTCAAACAGTCAAGTCAAAACTCTTATCAAGCCCAATGCCCCAGTCAAATTCAACATCCTAGTTAAATCCAACATTCCAGTGAAATCAAATATTGCACTTAAGTCAAACAAAATCCAAAATTCATTAAATCCAACACTCTGATCAAGTCTAACAATTAAGAAGATTTCAAAATTCTAGAAAAATAAAAACCCCAGTCAAGATAAACACTCCATTCAAATCCAACAGTCTAGTAAAATCCAACTTCTCAGTCAAGTTCAACATTCTAGTAAAGTAAAATGCATGTACATATTACATTACACAGTATACATCTAGTGTGGTTAATATATTACCTAATTACTCATTTATACTGTTACGCCTCCGGTTGTTAGTCAACTTCCCGTTTAATTTCTTTCTGATGAAACTTTAGCGACACAAGTCCTTTCTTAAATAAAACTAATATATTCTTTCTCAATACAACTTTGAAAAACACTTAATTTCCACAGTCATGCTATAACAAACGCTATTATTCACAACGAACGACTCACGTGCTCAACTCAATTGTCAGTTTCTATCTCTGTCTGCAGTTCAATTACATTGTTGCCGTCACTTCTTGGCGGTCTTATATACAAGAATAACGCATATCTAGTAAACACTCGAGGCTTCATGAAGGGACACGAACGTTCTAGAAGCTCATGACGTGTTATCAGCGTCACGTGACTTCCGCTGTCGTAACACTGCCCCTTCCTTAATATTGTTCTTCCCGACCAATAGCCACTTATATTAAACTAATAAATATTTACCAATAACTTAATTAAATGTACATAATTTACAAACACAAAATTAAAATTCAACAAAGTCTTTTAATTTTATAGGACGTATCTTCTTCTGTACTGGTCTCTACCTCGTTGGCTTCTGCTTGATGTGGGATTCATCTGCTTCATCAGGAAACGTCCTAACATTGGTAACAGTCACATCAGTGGTAGTAACTTCATCAAAGGGCTTACTGTTTCCCTTCTCAAAACTGAGTAGAGTTTCTTCTTCGACAGTGGCTTTTTCAGGTCACACGTCTTCAGCAGCGTCATTTGTTCCGTTGTTCACTTCGTTCCAACTGAAATGTTCTGGATCGTGATAACGCCAAAGCCTGTTGGCATGCACCACCTTTAGCTTACCTTCACCGACCACATTTTATTCGGAAAGTCACATCTGAGAGACGATTCACTACGTCATATGGGCCTTCCCATAGAGAAGACAAATTAGGAGACTTCCCTTTGGTCTTCCTGGGATTATACAACCATACCTTGTCTCCTGGTACAAAGCTGACTTCAGTATATCTCTTATCATAACATAGCTTCATGGAA